GGGACGGGAGTCCTCAGCAAGCCAGGGAGGTGACTGCACAAGCCTGGCTTTCCTGAACTGACCCACCTTCACTACCTCCAACTCCGCTCCTCCACTAGTCGCAATGGTGGGACCGTTCGTGTAGACCAGCCGCCAGCATCTCAAACAGCTCCACGCAAGCGTAGATGACCCAGGGTGCCAGGAACCGGGGTGTGGGCGGCCAGGTCCAGCGGTTGGAGCCGTAGGCGGTCAGGCTTGAGGGGTCGACCCAGAGTTGGTAGCTGGGGTCTGGAGCCAAGGGTCAAGCCAGAATCAATAGCCATGAACCAGAGGTCAGGGTGAGGAGACAGACCCAGCCTTGCTCCTATCTCAGCTGCAAGTCAGACCTCCTTGTTGCACAGACAACCTCCTGCTACTCCCTCCAGGCTTAAATAGTAGGTCTGGGCAAATGAGAGCTCACGGGAGGAGCTGCCAGTCATTTCTACCATGGGCAGCACTTCCTGCAGTGACTGGTCTCCCAGGATGTAGGCAGAGCCATGGTCCATGCACCCAAGGCTGCCTGGTGATGCCGCCTGCCCAGGGCCCCATAGGTCTGGGTTCAAGAACCATGAATCCTCACCCAGGGTATGTCCACACTTCACACAGATGTGTGACTGCAGCCCATGTAGTTCGGGTACCACCAGCAGTGAAACCAGGGCAGGAGTTGAGAACGGGCACCAGGGGATGGATCACTTGATGATCACCTGTTCTGTTCATTCCCTCTGGGGCACCTGGCATTGGCCACTGTTGGAAGACAGAATACTGGGCTAGATGGACCTTTGGTCTGACCCAGTCTGGCTGTTCTTATGGTCTTATGGCAGCGTGGGCTTCGGTGCAGGCTAGCCACTTGACACCCGTGCTTCTGGGGCTTGGCTGCTGTTGGTATGTGAGCGAGCTAGAGCAAAGCTAGTGGATTGCAGTGGAGACAGACCCACTGTGGTTAAAACGCTGGGGCGGGTAGGGCCCTGTGGAGTGCTGTGCTGGGGCTTGCAATGGTGGGAAATGGTAGGACAAGAAGTCTAGTGTAGGCAAGGCCAAGATTTCAGTAAGCCGTAGCCCACCCTGACTCATGTGCAGGGCTCCCTGCGCATCCACATGGCCTGCTGGTCAGCCTGGCTCTGTACTCACAAATGAAATGCAGCCGCAGCTCCAAGAAGCCTGCAGTCAGGTTCAGACCCAGACAAAACAGCTCAGACAAGCATAAGCCCCCAGGTGATGGCACGGGCCCAAGGGGGTGAAGACACTGAAGTCCTGCCTGGGTCATTCTTGCAAAGCTCTGCAGAAGAAGGCGCATTTTATGGCGGTCTTTGAAGGGGGTGAGAACGAGTGGTGTTATGACCGTATCCGATACCCGAGAGCTGGGTGATCCAACTGATCTTAAAAAGAAGAACAGGAGGACTTGTGGCACCTTAGAGACTAACAAATTTATTAGAGCATAAGCTTTCGTGGACTACAGCCCACTTCTTCGGATGCATATAGAATGGAACATATATTGAGGAGATATATATACACACACAGACAGAGAGCATAGACAGGTGGG